TCCCTCTCTTTATCTCTCCCTTTCTCCCTCCCTCCCCCTTCCTCTCTCTCTCACTCTCCTTATTTTTCTCCGCGGCCGGCCCGCCCCCCGCGCCCCCGCCGCAGAACTCGCCCCTCGCGGGGCCCGGGGCCCCCGCGCCCCGCCGCGCAGTCTCCCATGCCGCCGCGCAGTCTCCCATGCCCCTCGAGCCCTCGAGATGCTAGAGTACACCGGACTCACTTCTATAGCGCTCACTTCTATAGTGCTCACTTTGAAATTGTGGTCCGGAAGGGGCCGCACATGCAGGCACATGCCGCACAGTCGCATGCACATGCCCATGCAAATATACAAAAGCCTCAACAGCATTGCCGCACATGCGCGCACATGCCACACCGTCCGACGCACAGTCGAATGCACGGTCAAGCAAAACTCTGAAAGCATAGACGCACATGCCCGCACATGCCGCAGAGATGTCGCAGGCGATAGTGGCCTGACCACCTGAGCTCGGGGCATTTCGCAACCCAGAGTTCCGAGGATGTCTCAGGCAAGCGTGGCCGGATCACCATGGGGCAGGGCATCTTGGAAACCAGAGTGGCGAGGATGTCGCTGGTCAAGGTGACCAGACGACCATGGGGCAGGACACCTCCGAGGTCTGAGTTGTGAGGATGTCTCAAGCGAAAGTGGCCTGACCACCATGGGGCAGGAGATCTCTGAGGTCAGAGTTGCGAGGATGTCTCTGGGGAGAGTGGTCTGACCACCTCAGCCCAGGGCATCTGGAACCCAGAGTTCCGAGGATGTCTCAGGCGAAAGGGGCCGAGACACTATCGAGCAGGGCATCATTGAGATCAGGGTTGCGAGGATGTCTCAGGCGACAGTGGCTGACCACCTCAGCTCGGGGCATATCGGAATCGAGACTTGCGAGGATGTCTCAGGCGACCGTGGCCTGACCAGCATGGGGCAGGAGATCTCTGAGGTCAGAGTTGCGAGGATGTCTCATGCGAAAGTGGTCTAACCACCTCAGCTCAGGGCGTCTCGAAACCCAGAGTCCCGAGGATGTCTCAAGCGAAAGTGGCCGGGCCACCATGGGGCAGGGCATCTCCGAGACCAGAGTTGCGAGGATGTCTCAGGCGAAGGTGGCCAAATCACTTCATGTCAAAACACGTCGGCCTCCAAATTGCCGACGACGTCTCACGCGGAACTGGCCGGACGCGAACGCGCCGGCGTCCGGAGACGAACGCCGGCCCCGGCATTCTTGCACGTCCCGCACATGCACTGCACAGGTACGCACAGTATTCGCACAGGCCGAGCTCGCCGGTGGCCGAGCCAGGCCAGCGATTCCGAGATTCCCTGAGCTCGGGCCGTCAAGCCACTTTCGCCTGAGACAGCCTCGCAACTCTCACCTCCTCCTCCTCCTCCTCCTCCTCCTCCTCCTCCTCCTCCTCCTTCTCCTCTGGCCGAGCCGAACAGGCAGGCTGGCCAGTGGCCGGGGGCGCCCGCCTCCTCCGCCCCCCCCTCCTCCCCCCCCCCTCCACCTCCCCCCCCCATCCCTGCTTCTCCGGCCGAGCTGAGAAGGCGCGCGGGAGAGTATTTTATTAGGCGGGCGCGCCACCGCCAGCTCACGAACCGGGCGAATAACCGCCCCCGCCAGCAGCGGGCGAGTCTAAACGCACAACAAACTCTTTCAGGAAACCCTGGCACGCCCCAGGTTAGCTCTGCGAAGGCCAGGAGGCATTGGAGGCACAGGGGTCCCAGACAGCTCCTAGGGCATGAGCGTGCATGTGCATTGGGATGTGCACGCATGTGCGCCCGCGCGCTTCACCGCATGTGCGTGCATGTGCGGGCCCGCGCGGCCTCCCGAAGAGAGGTTGCACAGGCATGTGCGTGCATGTGCCGATGACAGATCTGCGATTCTCGAACACCTCCCGCATGTGCAGGCATGTGCGCGCATGTGCGTCGGACTGTGCGTGCATGTGCGTATGATGGATACATCAAAACACAGCGCACATGCCCCCGCACATGCCCGGGCACGACGTGCACAGTAGGAAGTCCATCCAAGAAGGACCGCACAGGCCTGGCACATGACTGGCACATGCCGCGCACATGCGCGCACATGACAGCGCAAAAACGGCCGCACATACACCCACCCAGGGGTATAGATGTGAGTGCGGTGTATCTGGCAGATACTCTAGCATCTCGAGGCGCTGCGTTGCCCAGTCCACCTGCTGTCCAAGTCCACTGCAGCAGCGCGCGAATCAGATAACAAGAGTTCCCGATCACATTGCCCCCGACTTGATAGAGCGTCGTGCGCCCGCCCACAATATTGCATAACCCCCCGAAGAAGCTGTTGGACGGTGGCGCGATGGGAGCAAATGCTGTCGTCGTCGTCGCACACGCTTCTGCTGGACAAGGATGGGGGGTCAAATCCGCGCGCCCGGAAGTCGGGCGAACGGCCTGCTTGCGGCCTGGCCAAGCCCCTGGGGCCCCTGGCCCCTGTCCCATCGCAGCCCTCTGCCCACTGCCCGCGCGAAGCGAATGCTTCAGCGAACGGCAACAATCGACCTTCCCGAGCGGCTTGGGAAGGTCGATTGTTGCCGTTCGCCCAAGGAAAAAATGCCCGAGGGCGGGGGGGGCGACGGGGTGGCAGCCAGCTTCTTCGTCTGGAGACAATGCCCTGCGCGTCTCCGCGCAGTGGACGGCGCAGGAATGGCATATCCGGGCCGCGCCCCACGCGCAAGTAGAACGGCGCGCGCCCCCAACGCTCTCGTTTGCCATCTGAAGGGCCGCGCCCCACTCGGCCAGAATCTCAGCTACTGGTCTCACGGCGCCGCCCGGCTCTGCGCCGCGCGATGCATGTAGCCTCTGTCTGAGGAACATTGTGCGCTGGCAGAAGAAACCTCCTCCTCGGGCAGTCGTTGGAGGGATGTTTGCCGCGGGCTCCAAGCGCGCAACAGCGACCACGTCGAAAAACAACAACGGGTCGTCGCGGTAAGACGTAGACTGCCAAAACATGTTGACCCTACGGGAAGGGCCGCTCAGCAACGACATCACCGTTGGTTGGGCCCGGCGCCTGCATAACATGAAACCGACAACCTTGTCATCGAGCAATTCGAGCGCCTCATCCACCGGATCATGGACGCCCGCGTCCGACAACGTACGTCGACTGCTCGGGTCCAGCAGGAAGTAAGGGGCCACGCGCTCAGGGTCTCGACGCCCCCAAGACAAGCCCAAGCTCCGAACTCGGGTTTTCGCGTGAATCCATATCAACGTGTCTGTCATTGGGCCCCAACGGCTGCGGGCAGGCTGCGGGTGGCGGCGGCGACGAACCGCGGCGGCAACAGCTCCCAGGAAGCCCCCAGGCACCCCAAGAAGCCTCAACAGCCGCGCGGCCCCCGAGAGGCCCCCAGGAAACCCCGAGAGGCGCCCGCGAGGCTCCCACGCGGCCACCAAGAGCCCCCCAAGACTCCCCAAAGGACCTCCCAAGAGGCCCCCATCGCCCTCTTTCCTTTTCGCCGCTCTCCCTCGCTCCCCTCCGCCCGCTCCTCCTCCTCCTCCCCCGCTCCACTCCTCCTTTCCCGCACTGCACTCCTCCGCCTGCTCCCTTCTCTTTCTCGCAACCCCTCCTTTTCCGTCTCTCCTCTTCCCTCCTCGTCAGCCTCTCTCTAGCCAACCATTGCCTTGCAGAAGCAGTCTTTAGTACCCCCGAGTGTCCCCGAATGTCACGCCTCGCGCCACTCTGCGTATGGCGGCCGTCAGATCCCCATGTCGCCCGCGTTTCTCCGAGTGTCCCGCCTGGCGCCAACACACCATAACATGACATATCGTTATTGTAACATAGCGACATAGCAGCGCAGAGCACAGCACAGCACTATAAGCTATGGCATACCAAAACATGCCACCTCACCACCTGACATTACATATCCGAACATCACATGGCATGCCATGATATGACATCCCGTAGCATAGCACAAGAGGACAGAGCAGTGCATACCATGACACAGCATCACAACACAGAGCAGTCCGTAGTATGACAAGGCAAGCATACCATAAGAGACCATCGCAGACCTCGACATGCCGAATCAGAACATGGCACAACTTCACATGACATGAGAGGACACAGCATAGCACAACATAATGTATCAGCGCATGCTATAACAGACCCGAGCATACACACCATACCATACCATAGCCTACCATGCAATACCATGGCATTTCACATCATACCATAACCTGCCATGGCAGAATACACCACAACATAACGCAGCATCACAGCACAGCTAACACGACATATTCTATAGCATCGCGGCACATATGTCAAATCATAGCATGGCAGAGCGCGGCAAAATATGCTACACCATGACAAGTCATAAGATAGCACACGACACCATAAGCGATGGCATAATGGATCATAATGACTAATGCATAACACGATACCTCAAACAACAGCCTAACAGAGCATACCACAACATACCATGCCATAACATGTCATGCAATACAATCTTATGACACAAGAAGCCGTGGCGGAACAACTCACGCCGTAGCACAGCATCAACGCACACGGCATTCCATAACATTTCAAACGCGACGCGCGCACCACTGCAAACAAACGCAGGTCCCGGGACCGCCCAAAGACTACGGACAGGCCGAAGAGCTGGCCCCAGGGAAATGTTCCAGACCTCTGGGGGCCCACGCATCGAACAAACATTTAGCGCCAGATGGCCAGGAAGGGAGGAGGCGGAGGAGGGGGCTGAGGAGGACGGGCAGGGGGGTGGAGAGTGGGGAAAGTGAGGAGGAGGATTGGAGAAAATAAGGATGGCAGGACGAGACAAGGAGGACGAGGAGGTGGAGATGAGGAGGCTGAAGAACCAAGGGGAAGCTGCAAGAATGATGAGGGGGGAGGAGGAGGAGGAGGAGGAGGACGACGACGACGACGGCGGCGACGACGACGACGACGACGAGGAGAACACTCGTCCTCTGCCGCCGCCGGACCGCTTGCTCACCGAACCGCTTCAGTGGTTCCCCGCCTTGTCTATCCACGGCCGCACCCGGGGCTTCTGGCCCTCCTGCTCTCGCGGGGCAGCTGAAGCCACAGGGATTGCGAGATTGGGCCTCAGCCCTAAGCCTCCTCCTCCCCCTCCTCCTCCTCCTCCTCCTCCTCCTCCTCTCCTCACCCTCCTCCTCGCTGACAGATCCTTCAGCCCCGAAGGACTGTCTGGTGGCGGCCCGCCAGCCTGGATACCTGGAAGCTGGCCTGGTGATCCTCCTGCCCCCCTTCTCCTCTCAGGTCGCCCCCCGCCCCCGGGGTTGAGCAACTGGGGTCGAGGTGAACCTCGCTATCCTTGTGATTCCTGCCCCGATCCTCGTCGGAACCGCAGTCGTTGGTGAAGCCCGCCAACCCGATCAGGCTCTCCGCGTCGCAGTGCGCGATGTCGTCCTGAGCGGCGCGACCGGGGCCGGTCTTGCGCGGCGTGGGGGAGGCGCGGCAGAGGACGCGGCCGCGACAGCGATGGTGAGGAGGGCAAGGCTGGCAGGTGCGGGCGACCATCGAAGATGAGACGGCTGACTACTCAATGACGGGGGGCGATGACGGCGAAGGAGGGGTGGAGGGATCGGATCGACTCGGCAGGAGGAAGCGTCAAGCCCCGCAGCGCCGTCTAGGGGCCCCCCCTTCGGGGGGGGGGGCACAAGGATGGAACCTGCTCAACATCGGTTAGGGCAATATTTATATCCCGCCCTGCGCGGCGGTCAGAAGCCACCCAGGCCCCGACCAACCACCCTAGGGGTGAAAGCAGGGAGGAGGAAACGAAAAGAGAAGAGGCAGGATTCAGGACCGAGGTTGGATGACAAAATGAAGACGAGTGATGGCCAAAGTCGAGCTGACGACGAGGATGGGGTGGATGGTGAGAGCGGGGGGTGGGAGATGAGGGAGTGGGGGCGAGGAGGTGGCGCTACCAGAGTGCAACAGCAAGTGGACAGGAGGAGGGCATGGGGAGGAAGCCGGGAAGGCAGGAAAGTGGAGAACACGATAAGAAACAGAGCAACACTCAGGCGGGGCCCGCCAGCGGTCCTCAACGCAGCGCTGCTCGGTGGTGCACCACCCGCCACCCTTGTGAATGGACTCATCTCCCCCTCCCCCCTTCTCCTCCTCCTCCTCCTCCTCCTCCTCCTCCTCCTCCTCCTCCTCCTCCTCCTCCTCCTCCCCCCTCTTCTCCTCCTGTTCCTCCTCCTCCTCCTCCTGCTCCTCCTCCTCCTCCTTCACCATCCTCTCTTCCTCCTATATTCCTCCTCTTCCTCCCAGGAGGAGGCCCCTCTCCTCTTGCCCCCACCTCTCGTTCCTCCTCCGTCCCCTCGTGGAGGGGGTGGCGATGAGTCCACACACCTTGACCAAACACGATTCGCACGTGTCGGACAGGTCGAGCCCGTCCGTCTGCCCCTGGCGGGCTCGCCGTCGTCGTCGTCGCCGTCGCCGTCGCCGTCGTCTTCGTCGCCGTCGTCGTCGTCGTCGTCGTCAAAGAACGAGACGGTATGGCCCTCCCCTCCCTGCCGCCTGCCCCCCCGCCCCTGCATTCCTCCTCCACTTCCTTTCCCTCCTTCCCCTCCTCCTCCTCCTCCTCCTGCCCCTGCTCCTGGGCGCAGTGCTTACAAAAGGAGACGAAACGTCCTGCGCACACCCTGGCAGCCGCCGACAAAACCCGGGAAACCGCCGGGGTGCGCCGAAGGGCATCGCCTCCCAAAACGGCACCGGAAGAGCCCCAAAGAAACTGCGGGGAAACCCTCCACGGGCCCACCGCAACTCCTCCTCATATCTGCCTCAGACCGGCGCGCGGGCCTCTCAAGGCCGAGTGTCCTCCTTTGGCTGCAACTCGCTCTCCGGCCATCTCCGCGAATCTTCGCTCTCGTCACTTCCTCCGCTCCTCGGCCTCTTCCTGTTTCTGCTTCGCTAAGGTTCGCCCTCCGCCTCCTCCTCCTCCTCCTCCTCCTCTTCCTCCTCATCCGTTTCCTCCCCTACCCCTTCTACTCTCCTATAACTCGTATTATCCGTATTAGTAAGATTCTTCTTCTTCTTTTAGCCAATATTATGTATGATGCTTCGTTGTCCGCCGGCCCCCTTGCGGGGCCATCAGGCTGCGAGGGTTAAGGTTGCTGCTCCCTGTGCCATTTCCAGTTTCCATTGTTACAGAACTGCTTTCTGCTTCCTACTGTAAATTGTTACTCTCCGCGCCAGGGGGGGAGCCGAAAAGGACCCTGGTTAGCACCCCCCGGGAGGGTTCTCTGAATTTCTGGGGGGGCGTGGGACATGTAAAAATACAGGAGCTTCGTGCCCCCGAAGCAAAAATCCCTTGCAAATTACGCTGTGCTCGCGCCCCCGAAGCCACGATCTTTCATGAATTACGGTGCATTCGCGTCTCCGAGGCCACGATCCCTCGTAATTTACGCCGCATGTGCGTCTCCGAGGCCACGATCCCTTGTAAATTACTCCACGTTCGCGCCCTCGAGGCCACGATCCCATGTAATTTACGCCACGCTCGCGCCCCCGAAGCCACGATCCCATGTAATTTGCATAATGTTCGCGCCCCCGAGGCCACGATCCCTTCTAAATTAGAACAAATTCGCGCCCCTGACGCCACGATCCCTGGTAAATTACACAGTGGCGGAGGCTGCCGAAAAGGCGCTCCCCCCCCTCTCCAAAGCAGAAAAACGGCAATTTACTGTATTGGGATATGTGCTCCGCTGGTATTATTTTGCCCCCCCCCCCGTTTCTGGAAAATCCGGCGGTGGGTTCCACATTCACCCCCCCAAGGCCACGATCCCTCTCAAGTTACGCCGCATTTGCGCCCCCGAGGCCACGATCCCGCGCGAATTACGCCACATTCGCGCCACCGAGGCAACGATCCCTGGTAAATTACACTGTTGTCGCACCCCCCAGGCCACGACCCCTTGTAAATTACGCCGCGCTCGCGTCCCCGAGGCCACGATCCCTTGCAAATTAAACAAAATTCGCGCGCACCCCCCACGCTACGAATCCACCTCGCGGAAACTGCCCAAAGGCGCCACTCCGTCTCCAGAGAAGAAAAAAATAACCTCCCCAGAGACTGCCTGAAGCAATCCCCAACCGTTCCCAGAGCGCTTCCAGTGAACAGCTGGGGGAAAATGCCAAGAAGGCAACAAAGCGTTCAGCAACAACTTCAACATCCCAATCTGTCCTGCTCATCGCCAGCCGCCCTAGCATGACGCTCCCGAATGTCATCGAGACGGCGCCCGAACATCTCAATATAGCTCTGATGTATCCCATTATGATAGAGAGGGGGCGGGCTTCACGGGGGGGAAGCAGTTACGGATATTAATAATAATGTGATTGTTACTCCATGCGCCAACATGATGATGGGCATTACTAGTATTATTACTAGTACTAGCCGCACGTCTTTGCTTGTTATTACCATTCCTCTTTTGATCTGTCATATCATTACTCGGACGTGTGATACTCTTACCCTTATTCGGCATATTCTTCTTAGTCTACCACGTATTATTATGCTGAGTACCATGATACATATTATGTAATCTGATGAGTAATAACAGTATTAGTCGTGCTCGTAATATAAATATCAGATGTCGTTTTCGCATTCGTCTTGTATGTTCGTTGATAATCTTCTTCTGCTTCACGAAACCAACTCATTGATATTAGTATAGATGATGTTGATACCTTTCTGAATTTTCAAATTATTCGTATCCATATTGTAAAGCTGTTTCTGCTTATGCGTATGCTTCTTCTTTGTGGTACGAGAATAATCGTCCGCACTCTTGTTGATTATTTTTACATGTTATTACCATGGTTTGTCCTCTTCCTCCTCCTCCTTTTCCACCCCCTCTCCCCCTCCCTCCTCCTCCTCCTCCTCCTCCTCCTCTCCTCCTCCTCCTCCTCCTCCTCCTCCTCCTCCTCCTCCTCCTCCTCCTCCCTCCTCCTCCTCCTCCTCCTCCTCTCCTCCTCCTCCTCCTCCTCCTCCCCCTCCTCCTCCTCCTCCTCCTCCTCCTCCTCCTCTTCGCGGTCGGTCCTCGTTTCCGGTCGCGGTCGGTCCTCGTTTCCTCCTCGGCCTCTTCTCAGGTTACTCCTCCTGCTCCTCTTCCTCCTCCTCCTCCCCCTGCTCCTCCCCCTCTTGTTCTAGCCCTCTGCCCCCTTCCTCCTCCTCCTCCAACTCCTCCTCCTCCTCCTCCTGCAAAACCCCGAGGAGGGTTCTGCACGGGAGCCCAGTAACAGCGATGATGATCGGTCACCTTTATACTCCCGCACGGCGAAGCGAGTCTCGGTGGCTTCAGCCGTTAAACACTTGAGCCAAAGGTAACAGGGTTACTGTTCCTCCCCAGTCACCTGAACGCTTGCATGTCAACACCCCCCCTCGGACGCTAGTCCGCACTGGCTGACGGGGAGGTGTCTTCAAACATAAAAACAGGTTAAACTGCGCAACGCGCTGCACGCAAATCATCACATCGTTGAATTCGAAATGTCTCGTGACAGCGCTTACGAGCACCACGTTTCTCACACATGTAACATGAGCTCGAATAAACGCTCTTGCAGTCACAAGTTCAAACGGAGCATCTAAAGTTTACACGGCAGGCTAGCATTTGGATGATTTTGATTGCTTTCGCTTTTTATTCGCCAATACCTGCGGTAACTACAAAAGATGCGCATGCAAACAAGCTCAGCTCAACAAGCTACCGCCACACGATTGTCAAGCCGAGTTAAGAGGGGAGATGAGGAAGAGCGTAAACTGCAGCATGCCGGTCACCTGCCGCCTTTCACGAGCGGCGCGGGCGCCTCGCCGACGGGGCCCGTGCGCCCCTCGACCTCGGTAACCCGCGATGTCCCACACTGGCTGCTGCGTAGGACGACACCCTGTTAAGGGCCTGCATCGGGCTGTAATAGTCGGTGTCCAGGTGCGCGTTAATGCGCTCCTCGTCGTCGAGCCAGCACCCCTCATCGAAGCTCTTGATGGAACCGTCAACGATGTTGTGGTAGGTGCCGATGGCCCTCCAGTAACTGGCGTGGGGAGCCTTCAACAGAGGCCCACCGCCTGGATTGTTACGGAGGTGCTCCTCGACCGCAGCGCCGGTAAACGGGTTCACAGTCCAGGTTGGATCGGTAAGCCAGTTGGGGAAGTCGTCGCACGGTAACCAGCCAAACCAGCAAAGCTTCTCACGATGATCGCTCTTACGCTCGGTGATATGATCAGCAGGCCAACTGTCACGGTAAAGTGCCCTCATGGATCCCTGATCGTTAAGAGCGACATCTAAGATGGTCTGGTGCCAGTAGACTGGAGGCCTGTTGATGCTGCCCTTTAACTCCTCGGTGCTCCTGACCTCGAGGTCCTCAATGAAGTAGTTACGGTAATGCACCTGGAGCCCGCCCATGTAGCGGCAGTAGAGCTTGGCGAGATCAGGCGTCGCAAACCGAATGACGGTAACTCCAGTCGAGATGTAACCGCGCGGCCCCCGGGTGTCCTCCACCAGGTGCTTAACGGAGATCACGGTGGGGTTGCCGTGGGGTAGCATTCCTGCCCACGTTAAGAGAAGACCGTTAAGCTGCTTCTCGTTCATCTCCGGCACCTTGTTGACGTACACCTGCGTGTCCGGGCAACTGTGGAGCTCAAACCACGATGGGTGAAGATCGTCAACGTGGAGTGGTGGCACGTACTCGTCGTCAAATAGGGACTGTACGTGCCCAACTGCGTCAACCCATTCATCATGCTTGGTCAACTCTTTCTCCGTCAACTGAGATCTCCAGCTGCTCGGGCCCTTCAACACGGCATAGCCGATGAAACCGCAAGCATGTTGGCCGTAGATGTCAACGAACACGCCATCGTAATCGTTAAGCTCCCGCCCTGTGTTGCCCTGAATAGACCGACCGCCAGAGGTCGTTAACCCCGCCTTCGCCACGTGCCCGACGAAGTTGCCCTCAAACCTGCGCCAGTTGTCACGCGTCTTCATCGTTAATGCGACCACTTCCCCGGGTCAGGTTCCGCCTTGTAGTTAACGTCGTAGTCGTCGCTCCTGTCGTTCAGCATGGGCATGTGACCGTTGACGTGGCACAGCGGGCGGTACACGGCCTTGGCGACGTTCCGGGAGTATCCCGCAAGCTGATCATTCGTGCGGTTAACGACTTGAAGCTGCGGTGGCGGGACGTGCTGGACCGGTAACCTCTTGGGCTCCGGAGGCGGGGGCTTCATGCCGCTAACGCTGCTTGATGCTCTGGACTCGCCAAGCCCCGGAGGGGGCGGCTTGGCCGGCCTCGCGTTCACGGCAGGGGCAGGACCCTTTGGTACTTCGTCACGTTGACGGCCCATCGCACGATCTTCATCCATCTTCATGCCGATCTGCATTAATTCTTCCAGCTCCCGTTTACGCTCATGCATGGCCTTCGGCGCTTTCTTGTAAACAGGT